CTGCCAAGCCATGCTCCACAAGAAAAGTTCTTGATTGATTATGTCGCCTCCAATTATAGAATGTCTTACTCATGCGGTTGAATCCTTTTACAAGATAAGTGCATCTGGAATGATTTTTGTTAATCCTGCACAAATAATAAAACTGTTAGTTAATTTCAATTAACTAATATTAGGAAAATTAGTTAAAATAATATAAAGTAAACTTAAAATAATATAAAGTAAACTTCCCTTAAATATTCCTGCCCGCATATATTTTGGGTACGATAAAGGTTCAATCCAATATAGACGATGTACTGTCAATCCTCAAAACTTACAAATATGTTTTTATTAGTTAAAAATTAGTTCTTGTGAAATTAACTAATATTAGGAAACGTAGTTAAAAAAATATAAGTAAACTTCCCTTAAATATTCCTGCCCGCAGATATTCTGGGTACGATAAAGGTTCAATCCAGTATCTACGATTTACTGTCAATCCTCAAAACTTACATATATGCTTTTATTAGTTAAAAATTAGTTCTTGAAAAAAAAAAATAAACAGAATATAAAAATAAATAATAATTATTATCTAAATGCGACAGAAAAATAGTAAAATAATCCTCCCTATATATAATTCTCGAATGCGCTGAGCCTACGTGGCTGCTTCTGGTGCTTCAGAATCCTATTTGGCGAAGAATCATGCTTCGTAATTAGGTTTGAATAAATAATATTGATATATTAATAATTAATAATCTAGGTTCGGAAATTCCATAAATATTATTTAGCTAACTTAGGTATTTTAATATCACTTTTACTAATATAACCCTTTAATTCTTTGTAATTTTACATAGTGAGACACTAAGTGACTAATATATCCTTGAATTTTGATTTGTTTCCTTCAATAAGCTATTGAATTATAAATATATTTTAAAAGTTGATAACTTTTGTATTTCTTATCGGTTTTACATATATAATATATCAAATTAATCATCTTTTGATGATCTTCGATTTGACATCCATATTATATGAAATAAATAAATTATATTTATCTTTATAATAATAAAAAATAATAATATTTATTAAAATTCATTAGAAAAATAAAATTATTTCTCAATTGATATATTTATATGTAATGTAGTTATATATTGTAAGTTAAAAAAAAATAGTATAATATAACACAAGTAAGTTGCACAAATAAAAAGTGTCATAATATATATAATATTATATATATTCTTATAAAAAGTATTTAAATTCTCAAACTACTTTTTCTCATTAATTTTAGATTTAAAAAAAAAAAAAAATTAGCAAACACCCGTGTAATACACGGGTGTTGTACTAGTAATTATCAATCGTAAATATGCTACTGAATGTATAGTAAATTTTATAAATAAATACGCATATATTTAATGATTGAGTTTAATTTATTTAAAAAATCAAATAAGAAATGCGATTGGAGGAAGAAAAAAAAAAAAAAAAAAAAAAAAA